CTAAATTTATCAAAGCCAAAAAAGTATGGTCGAAATATTTTAAGGGAAGGTGTTAGATATAGATAAAGGTAGTGGCGAAGACTAAGATAGCGAGTCTGGCTGTAGAGCGGAATTTGTGTCGTATAGGCAAGCTCAAACTAGACTGAAAGAAGAAGGCTTGTGCTTCACGGTCTCAGGCAACACAGTTGTGAGGTTGGAGAATATCGGGAGGATCCTAACCCCCTGTAAAATATTTACTAGCAAATTAAAGCAGGTACTACTTTAGAGAGTAACCTTGGCAGTATTAAGAACAAGAGAGTTACGGATTTAAAATTAAATTAATTATTTACTTAATATAAACTAATTTTTTTTGTTCGTAAAACCTCTACACTTTTATCTTTTTAATTTTTTTAGCAAAAGTTAGTCACCTAGTTTAATTATTATAAATAAAATCATTTTACACATAAGTAAAAAATAGGTTTCGACGTACCTAGTTGATAAATTACTCCACAAAATGATATTTGATACTGTAGTTCCTTTAAGATGTAATCATACTATCCTACTACAGGATGTAATACTATCGAATAAAATAATTTTAAGCTCTATGCGGTATAGTACAATATCGATAATTATTTTATCCAGGGTTCAGAAAAACACTGTGCTGTGCACAAAAATGCAAAACACCACGCACAAATGTTGTGCGATTCTAAAATTTCACACCACAAATGTGGTGTGCGAAAATTTTTGTGCACATCTTAAGTGCACATCTTGTGTGCACAAACGAAACGCACATTTCACACGAGTGTGGTGGAGTGAAATAAAACTCGCACACGCATTCGTTGTTTGTGCCGAAGTTATTTCGCACAGCACATTGTGTGTGCGGCAGCCAACTTGCCCTCGCACACAACGTGTGCAGAAAAGAATACGAGAAGCACATTTTGTGTGCAGGCTCGAAAATAAAAATGCACCCAAATGTGCGGAGACGAAATGTCTACTGCACGTTTGTGTGAAATGATGATTTAAAAGCGCACAATATTATGACAAATATCGCAGCAAAATAGTACGGAAAACTGATTTGTATTAATTTTGGTCTTAATGCGAAATATTTTATTGAAGAAATAATTTTGTAATTATATTTTAATTTTGAATTTATTATTAGATTTACATTTATTGCTTATATTACTTATTATTTTAAGGTTTACTAATTTAAAACATGGGAATAAAGTTAATTTCACAATGTACTTGAAAACTTTGCTATATTAAATAGGTACATGAATTTAATAGAGAAAGAGTATTTGTTTCGAAATGTTATAAGTAAAAGGGATCGGTTCTACGGATCGTACTTTGAAAAAATTAAATATATCAATTTTGGACTACTTCATAAAATTTTATTTAATAGTAAGTTGTACACTAAGATTCGTTAGTAAGGTTATAAAAAGCAAATTAAATATTTTTTACAACAACATAAATTAATTTTGTTATTAGATTTCAATTAATTTTTTATCTTTAATTACAGCTTAAATTTAACAAAGTTATTGAAATAATTTTATAATTTAATATCTTAATTTCTTATTATAAAATATATAATTTTTATTACATATTTTTTGAAATAAATTTTCATTTAATCTTATTAATAACATTGCTGAAATATTTTTTTCACTTAAATTATATCTCTGCTTACTTATCACAGTAGAAAGGGCGCTAAAATCCTGCTACCTGTTCAAGAAAATATTTTCTTAATCTTTCGCGTTTTTTAATGAATGTTAGATACTCTACCTATGTGAATACATATTTCTGGAGAAGAAAAATATCTATTTGTGGCCCTCCCGTATTATCTTTTTTAAACTGTTGCAAAATTTATTAAACAAATACACCAATACCAATACCTGCTACCTGTTCAAAAAAAATATTTTCCTAATCTTTCATATTTTTTGGGCATAAAAAAATCTTCCTAAAATATGTTTTTATTTTTTTTAAACTGGTGCAAAACTTTCCAAACAAATACTTTAAGTTCACTTACTATATTTGCATTTAAAAATGTACAAAGTAATATACAAAAAACTAATATTTTAAGTTAAAATACAAATAAGGTTAAGACAGTTATAATTTTTAGTTTACATTAATTAACAAAAATAATTATTTTAAATATTTGTTAATTTATGCAATTTTTAACATAAATTACGATCCCAACGAACGCAAATATCAATTTTTTTCAAAATTTGCAACAAAATAATATTTTCTATTTCAAACAAAATTGTGAAGTTCCTGTAATTTTTTCCACCCTTGGGTGCAAGCGCAAAATCGCACATTTGTGCACGTTTGTGCATCGCACATTTGTGCACATTTGTGCACGTTTGTGCAGTCGCACATTTGTGCAAACGTAATATGAGCAGCACACTCGTGTGCAAAGAGAATTTTTTGTCGCACAGTGCGGTGCGAGCATAAAATTTTCTCGCACATCTGATTGTGCACATTTTTAAAAATCAGTCACACAGCACAAATGTGTGTGCACGAATCTGTGTGCACAATCATCGCTTTGTGCGATGTGAAATTTAAAATCGCACAACAAATTTGAGTGCGTGCATTTTTTTTCTTAACACCACAAATGTGCGTGTGCATATTTTAAAAATAATTTCCACTCGCACAGTGCAGTGTGCGATTTTGTGCACCACATTCCGAACTCTGAAAT